ATACAATTTCTAATTCGTGAACCCATGAAGAGAGATTTCCAAGCGAAATTTAGGAATTCAATTTTGAACTTGACTATATTGTTTATTAATAAGCTAATTGAAAATGCTAGTGTTCTCATAGTACAATTTATTAAACGAAATAGATTTATTGTTGCACTTATGTGCCTCCTCAAGTCGTAGTTACAGGATAGGAAGCCGTTCTAGACGCCACTCATTATTCTCTATTGTCGTGTCGAAGTGACTCAGAATAATTAGGCACCACTAAAACTACCCCCCATCAAAGCCTGAAATATTTCATTTGTCAAAACATAGCAAAGAAATAGAAGCTATCATCAAGCTAAGGCACCTTCAACGATCACGTGTTTAAAGAGAAGAAAAAAAAACATCAGAACCGGGCACCATTGAATAGTTCGGGTTATTGGAGAATACTACAAATGGCGCACACAGTGAGAGTACGAAACGATATACGAAGTGAAAAGCAAATATAAAAAAAGGATTATCAACACGTTCTGAAATGGTGGCTGGTGCAGGTTTCGCTCTGGTGCCGTCCGCCTTTGTGGTATACAGTGGTTATACGGGTCTCGGCTATATACTGACTAAAAGGAACCATGCTATTGTTTTGGCCCACAGCTCTCCCATAGTAGTGCACCTAGTGCTCTAAATCGTTAACTGCTTTTTCTTAACATGGAGGCGGAAATGATGTAGGCCCGTGTGCTCAGATTTGGGCGCACGTTAAAGAACCCCAGGTGGTCGAAATTTCCGGAGGCCTCCACTACGGCGTCTCTCATAATCATATGGTGGTTTTGGGACGTTAAACCCCACAAATCAATTGCTTTTTCTAAACACAAAGGCCGTGACACAAAGGCTAACAGCGACACGCACGTGTACAGGGGCTAATCAGTGAACGATAACGAAGACCAGATAGTCAACGTTTTCGGAGCCCTGCACTGCGGCTTATCTCACAATTAGATCGAAGTCTGGGTGCGTGAAACCGGAGATACCATTTCATTTCATTGATTTACTCTCAAGGCACTGGCCATTACAGAAACACAATTATTCACGCATTAAACATTGTTCTTGATTTTGTTTTTTTGTGTGTGTGTTCTTAATGAACGACGTGAAAGTCGTGACCTTGCTAGTGGTCCACCTTTCAAGTTTGCGGTAAACAAACATTTGTGGCGTAGGAGCGTTTCGGTACCGCATTCTCGCGTCCGCTCGTCAGTCACTTGTGTGCACCCAGTTTGGAACAATTCTGGAACAAATCTTCACCGTTCCTCCGACCCACCGTCCTGTCGCGTCCTTACACGCCCCCTGAATGCACGGTACAACTGGTCCCTTGCCTCGCATGCATAGCTAGAGCACCGGGTGCGATAAAAATACAAACCTAGGAAGAATAGCGTGCAGTGTGCAAATAACCGTACCGTCCTCGCCTCCGTCGTCGACGTCTCAACCACGCAGCAACAGCCGTTCATCCAATGCCCTCGCTTGTGACCACGGCGGGCGAGCTTCTGTCGCCGTTGCTTACTATGCTGCATGCGCCCTTTGGACCGGAGCCCATTTCGCGTTACCAAAATATATGCGCAGTCCCAGACGCAACGCGTGACGCTATAAACCCGTGCCGCGTGATCACCGCGAGTTGTTCATTTGTCGAGATAGTGGCCTTGCATTCATCGGTCTGTGTGATACTTTTTGTATGATACTGTTTTCTTTTTCTTTTCCTGTTTTCGTGTATCGTTAAGACGGCACCTTCTTTGCGAATCTCTTCGAATCCCTGCGGGTCAGCAGCCGAGTACCTTAGCCACTAGACCACCGCGGCGGGGCTTGCGAATCTCTTCCGCATTCTGTAGACCACGATTGCCGCTGCTGATAGGATTTTTCAAAAGATGAAACGATCAGGCAATTCAGCACAATGAATAATAATAATAATAATAATAATAATAATAATAATAATAATAATAATAATAATAATAATAATAATAATAATAATAATAATAATAAATGAGTTACGCGGGCCAAAACCTCGTTAAGATTATGAGGCTCGCTGTAGTGGAGGGCGCCAAAAATTTTGACAGCTGGTGTTTTTTAGCGTGCGCTGACACCGCACAGTTTACGGGCCCCTAGCCTCCGCAGAAATGCGACCATCGCTACAGGTCTTTTGTTCAGCAGCTGAGCACCATGCACGTACAACCACATCTCACTGACATGGCGGATGTTTCGGGCGTTTTGTCAGACGTCTTCGGCAAATGTCGTGTTTATAGCTGGGTCGTTCTTAATTGTTTTCGTACGTTTGCGTTCATACGATGTCTTCAACGAGAGACTATACCACAGGCCCTGTACGTTCAGCCAATCAATTATCAATTAGATCAGTCGCAGCAGGGTCGAATAAGAAACCGTAGAATGGAGAGTCATAGTTAAAAGCTCAGATAGTGTGAGCAGAGTTATCAAAGATGTGAGTGTTCAGTATGCTGACAAAAAAGACCTCGTTCCGTCAAATATGCCAGAACACCACTCAATATGAATTATTTTAACAAAAAAGAAAAACAATCAATCCAGGGGGACCTTTTGTTTTTAGACACAGCCTAATGGAGCCAATTGATAATGAAGCTGAAGACTAGAAACTTCTGAGCTTCACGTTAAATTATCTTTACGTGGTATAGTATCAAGCAATGGCTACCTGCTATTTCAACTCGAATTTAAAATGTTTTCTCTTCTTGAATGAGAAAACTGACTCAAACGAACTGACGAGGGATCGAGATAGTCCACACTATAGTAGGTAAAAAAATCGTGAAAACGAATAATTAAAGCAATCTTACAAGCTATATAATATTGTAAAGAATGAGAAGGACGAAATCTGATGTAAATAAATATTGTCTAGAGCAGGGGTTCTCGAGCATGTTGGTCCAATGAACCCTGCCAGGCTCCATTAAGTCCCAGAAAACCTCCCTCTTCCCCTTTTTATGCAAGCATTTTTTCATTTGGTATACATAACATTCACGTGCAATAAATTCACAAACAAGGTTCTATTAAAATTTTATTCACTGATGTGCAACAGAACTCACTTTCCTTGCAAGAACAAATGGGAGCGAGTGAGGTTCTTTAGACTGATCGCACCTGAGGTACGCCACCTAAGCGACTTGTCTAGACAATGGTCTAGAACCATGGTCTAGAGAACGTTAATTGGAAGAGAAACAAATAAATGTATGATGACTACGACGACAAATACGATGTTGATTGCGATTATTATAATGCAGATGATAGCGCCGCCGCCTCTGGTGCTGCTGCTGATGACGATGACTAGAAAGAGGAGGCATAGCAGGAGACAAAGACATCACCTATGCACGAGATGAATATACGGTCTTCTTCAGACCACAGGGAAAGGTGTACAGTGCGAAGCACTAGGCGGAGAAATATAGACATGACGCTAGTTCTTGAGGCTGGCTGTTCTATTCTGCCTCATCTTTTTCTTTGTCTCACTGGGCGAGCATGATAGCCCAAGCTTCGTTGCCGCTCTTCATCATCATACTCGTCCATGACTGCGAGCGCGCGTAGCTGCTGAAATCGTCTCTGGAGGACGTCACTGGGAGTGTCATGGTAGTCGGTCATAAGCACGCTGTGACTTGCTTTGTGGAAACGCCATGTACTCTGAAGGGCGACACTGGCTCTGTCGAGCTGGTCGTTGCAGGTCTCATCGGCACCGTGAACGAATGCGGCCACTTGTGGTTGGTTCTAGCTCAATGCTGCAGCTGTGCGCTCCAGTTCACCACTTGAACTTCGGCACTCTTCGCAGCAGCCAGACTCGAAGCTCATCCCGGCCAGAGACCACTACCGAAGACGAACATCGTGAAGGGCGTTGTTCTAATGACTCAGCCACAGAGAATCACTTCAATTGTGCAGCTGTGCCCAGTGATACCTCAGATGACCTCTTGGGAAAACGACCCGCAGGGACCACGGAAACAGGTGGCAAGGTACTCACCTCGGTACCGATGATATATTCCGCATCGAGAACCATCTCGCGATATTTCTTGCCAGTGATCAACACTACCAAGAAGTCGGAGCTCCCGGAGTCGCGAAAGCCCAAACTTCGTTGCCGCTCTTCATCGTTGCAACGGGTAAGCCCACACAACTTACCCGAGGTAGATCTCAATGCATTAGGCGCTTACACTCTAATACATCTTTCTTGACACCCTTTTCTGTGGGTGTTGAAAAAATTAGAAGGTTGTGAAGCATGGGCGTCGACAGGGGGATGCAAAAGGAGCATCTGCGACCCTTAGGAGACATCAATGGGACTTTACCCAAACCACTCCAGCGCCCCCCCCCCCCTCCTGCCAACCACGATGTAACATAGCTGTGCACCCCTGAAGACAATATCCTTCTGAGGCCCAGCCGCTGTGGTAGCTCAGTGGTTAGAGCATCGAACGCGTTATTCGATCTTCTGAGGCCCATGCGTAGAAGGCGACCTATAGCGGAGTGTTTCTGAAAATCCTGTGCCTTTTTCTATAGGACGCCCTAGTTCTAGCGTGCATGGCAAAGCAACCTTCCTAGAGGGCGCAAATTCGAAACCCCCGGGATGTTGTCCCCTTGACAAGCCTACCCACGTCCTTTTGGTTGTACACACTCATGGCGTCATCAGACGTCAGGCACTCGATGACGCATAACAACTGCGTAGCAAGGGTTGTTAACTGGAGACACTAATCCAGTCAAGCCCGATATTGCGGTAATTGGTCTTTATTGATCGGAGAAGATACGAACAGACGTGCACGGTTGTCGATGAACAGGCGCTACCACACTTGGAGCGCGCAGCGCGGCACGCGTGGACGGGAAGCTTGAATGCTCGCCGTCCGTGAGGCCATTATGTTCGCTGCGCGATGATTGTAGGCGGATGAGACAGAAGGAAGAGAGGGGCCACCCCTCTTCCTTTCATTTCCTTTACTTTTTTTTCACGAGAAAGTCAGGTGTGGTGAACTGGATCCAATGAGACAGAGAAACGCGATGATTACCAATCAAAATTCAGCGTCAGAGTCAGCAAGAGCAAAGTCAGGGTCGTATGAGGAGAGAATCCGTTCTTCCTTCGCCACGATCTCCTGAGAGGAGAAGGAAAAAAAGGAAAGATCATCGTTAGCACGAAGTTACAATAATAAAACTGCTGTTAAAGTGCGCGATTAGTACATGAGCACTTCAGTTGAACTTGAGACACTGCACCTAGGCGGCATTACGTATAAACGTATTACTGTCATCTACAAAATACCAGTTAGTCCGTGTTCTGCGTTCGCCCACTGTTTCATTCTCTGCATGATAGCACAAACATCCTAACTTGTTGGCAGCAATATAACTAACGTTAACTACATACTTACAGTGATATTCAGTGCATACTTCTCGTGTTTTCCCTCTCTGGTATCCTTACTGGCACTCCAACCACCTCTGCTATACCTACAGTTGTTATAAGATGCGAAGCAGCCCTTTGACTAGCTTGTGTAACGCTGTCCCTCCGTATCGTGTATTCAGCATTATCCAGCAAGATGGCGCAGTGAGCGCGCGGCGGCTCTCATCGTAGAGAATAAGGGGGGTGTACGCTCGATCGCGCCCCCTTATCTTGCAGTGGGGAGAGTCGTACGTCTTTGCTGGCCTTTGAGTTTTGTCGGAACGATCCTGCCGTAGTTACCGGGCGCACAAAGGTCACTGAAATCGTTGCGAAACCTCCGTTTGCGAAAAGGGCGCGCCTTTCAGACACAGCGAAGTAACAGCTGAGATGCTTATTCGCGTTAATCTGTATCCTGTGAGTACGTCTCGTGCGTCCTTTGTGCGTGAGAAACGCGGGGCACGTTTCGGCCTGCTTGCCATTCTACGCGTGACCTTCCAATTTGTTGCGATCGCGTTCATTGCTTCGCCTTTGCGGCAAAGCTGTGACTTTTTTGTGAAATGTTTATTTTTGTCGACTCAATCGTTCTTTACTTAGACTTCACATGCACAACACAAAATAAAGTGCCCACCCACTTGCGTGAGGTCTTCCTCTTCCATGGCGTACATGGCGTAGCCCTGTGCCTCCGCGGCTTCCGTTGTGTCGTCCGGAAGCGTCGCGGACTTGGACGACCCGAGTCCCGCGGAAGGCGAGTGGACCTTGACGCCTCCTCTCATGGGCTCGTCCTCTGCAGCAGGCTCATCTTCGAGTGCGTCTTCCAACTCGAGCTGCAGCACGGACAGTTGCTCGTTGACCAGCCTCGGCTGCTGCATCCGCTGCAGCTTGTCCCTGTCCCCGCGCAGCACGTCTGCCGCGTCGGGCGCCCGCATCTGGTACCGGTAGACCAGGTCGGCCGTCAGCGATACACCCTCGGTCCAGTGCGGCTCGCGCAGCACAGCCCGGAAGGGCTGCTTGCGTCGACGGTCCTTCATCTCGGAGTCCGTGTCCTACACCAGGAGAAAACAAGTTCATGCATAGCGTCGACAATATTTTTAGCTTGTCCCGTATTCCGGCATGTGCAATGGAGTTAAAGGAAAACAAGAATAACGGACACCATGGATGTCTCTTGTTTCCTTGGCATGTACTGTTAATGCTCTTCATGCACTGGAAAAAGGAAATTTGTATAATACATTAGTTTGATTTTCAAAGTTATCGTCGCCAAACATCTGAAAGATGATCCCACCCCAACGGTGCTTATCCTGAAGACTCAGCATGGCTGCGTCCTGCATGAGGCCGAAATTGCTATCGCATTCACTGGATGTCGCTTCACCTGTCGTGGTCTATGTGCAACACGTGTAACTAACACAATCCTACAGAGTAATGCATGGACGTCAAGAGTCACTGTCCCAGTGAGACTTACACTTGCATCCCTCTGTGTTTACACGTTAGTGTGACAGCATCTCCTCAATATAGAGCCCGAATGCATGTCTTTAAAAAAAGTGGTAATAAAAGTGTAATAAATGCGTTCCGAGCAACCACGGTACACATTTTAGTGGTCTTGACGCCAGTGCCTTTATTATACCAACAATACAATAATTTAAAATGTTGGTATCAGTATATACTCTGTTGACCGTTTAATGGGCACCCCTGATCAATCAAAACATTTATAGAGGCTACTCATTTACGAACACACATCTGCTGAAGGTTAACATCAGCAAACACAGTAGAATACACTTCGTTCCTGCCATGAAACTCCTATATTTCTCTAGTTGATGTAGTGTGACAAGTGGGGCTAGTTGGAACAAAATGACGATGGACAGCGGAAGAAGAGCTATATAGTCAAGAACAAGTAGACGACACTGGTTGATCTCCGTATCAGGACTCCGGTGCCAACAACCCAACCACTCGAGATTACAAGTCTGGTAATGGTCAATCATTGAAGGTAAAACTAGTATGCGCTTATTAACACAACTGGGATACATAAAGAATGAACAACGACCTGCCTCTGATCATTCTTGGTGACTCAGTCGTGTTCATTTGCGCAAACCCGCTTTAACTTCAAATATGAACTAAATCGCCCAGCTACAGGTTTTATTGAACCAGCAATCGGCAGATGTTAATCCCGCCGAACAAACAAATCTTCGTTTGTCTTTCTAGCACTACACGGACACGCTGCGGGAGTGTTGCCACGTTTTCTGCGCACGGCCCCTTGTTGATGACAGGTGCCGAGGCAGTAACAATAAACTATGCGTACCTCAGAAGACTTCTCTGACGAGAACTGACTTTCCGAGTTCTCGGACTTCTCGAAGAAGGATGACCCAAACGAGAGCGACACGGAGTCGTCCTGGTGCATGTCCTTGTCGGTGCTTTCGCTGTGGCGCCGCTCGTCCGCGTCCGACTTATTGGCGCCTCCAGCCGAGGGTCCATTGCCGAACGCCGTCGCATACGGCTTGAAGGGTCGCATCGAACAACCCTCCATTTCGGTGCCACCATTGGCATTGCTGCTGCCCCGTCGACCATTGGCCGAGCCGTCGCCGAGGCCCGTAATGGTCGCTGGACCACTTGTCTTGTCCGCCCCATCTTGCAGTGCCTGGAAGAAACAGTTGCTTTATTGTAGCGTTAGCTACACTGGCCTCGCTGAGCCAATTTCGCGTGGCACTGGTCTGCGCATGCGCAATGATACTCCGCCACCGCCGCCGCGTGCGGCTCGCCGCTGGTGTGCGCGCAATTCGATGCGCTGCGCAGGCGATCAGTGGTGTCACGCACCGGAGCCGGCACCTCCCTCGCACTCGGCCGCGGGAGCGCGCGACTCGCCGCCGCCGGTGTGCGCTTTCCAGAGGAGTGCCGTCATAGCCTTGGTAGAAATATGGACGTCGACGCGCGCGCCTTCCCTGTGCAGTCGCCATCTGACTCTGCGCTGGAGCCGCTTGATAGCGCCTCTGACTGGCGTTTGCCACTGTGGTATAGCCATGGAGAGGGAGAGGGCAAATGCTACTCAACGGTGCGGTAGAGTGGAGAAGCTTAACTCATCGGGTCCCGAAGCAGTTGCCCGGCAAAATAGATATACATGTGCCACATAATATTTATACCGTGTGTGTGTCATTGGAACAGCTTTAAGCATGATATCTGGAAAGCTAAGAATAATCAGCTGAACCTTTGCTAACGCTACGTATACCCTGGCATAGCTGAGCTAAGCCACTGCCATTTTTTGTAACAGCATCATAGGTATAGTGCATTCGGTCATCGTGTCCCGGGACTCGGACGACGAAAGAAAATCCATTACTACAGCAATAAGCCTGCCTAGAGACGCCGTAGATAAGCCTACCCCTGTTCCCCGGACACCAAGCCTGCTGTGTGCGAACGTGAGGCCCTACCAAAACATACTAAAGCGCCTGCTGGTCCTCGCAGCTTGAATGAATGGAGCAGGTCGCTAACGCACAGTGTTGCCGGAGCCAGAATGCACTAGTGCTTACCTAAAGTTTGAATAGGAAGGTGATGTCGTCGGGGGTCTGCCCACAAGACCAGAGCCAGCCAAAGTCCCGGTAAGATGTCGAGGAGAGAGCCGGTGCGGTTAACAGGAGCGTTTATTTACATTATATGCAGGTTCAAGCTAGCGTGATACTACAATGTTTTGGGTAGCACGTCTCGAGCGTTTCTGCGCTCGTGTTTTTAAAGTCCATGTCTTCTAAAGAACCCTTGCTGAGGAAACAATGAAACCCAGGATGGTCCAATCAAATTGTCCTCTTCACCTCCGCCCTCAAAAGGGGAGGGTGAGACACCACCTCCTTCCAAACCAAGGGAAAGAAGGGAGAGGCACGCCCAGTTCGTACCATGGTGAGCGAGAAAACACTGCACAAACACTGCACCAGGCACACGACACAGCACAGTGCGAAGATGTTGGGTTCTATGTAGAAATCGAGCCCGTAATCCGTTGCAGTGAGGAGTCAACAGCGCCAGGCAGGCCGCGGTTTGTAGAAACGGTGGCATGGCGGCAGCACAGAAAACTTAAGAACGCACTCGAACATGAACCTCAGTCGCTTGGCCTATTGTCCGTGGCACTCCGACGAGCAAAGCCGTACAAAGATAACCACCCTTTTTAAGCCGCTTTGATTGTAAACAGCCCTTCATAGGCTGTCAGTAGGCGGGTAAGTTCAAAGAATTCTACGAGGGGAGACGTCGGCCCCGCAAAATTCCAAGTACTGTTAGCGTGTCGTTGTCGCTTTTGGTTCACCTCTGGGAGCGCTGTCCAGCAACCGTCTCACGTCGAAGCGGCGCCATGCAAGGGAGGCCGATCACAACAAACGTTACTTTACGAAACAAACAGATACTTTTCGTTAATAGCTGTAATATTTGCCTACCTTCTTCACTAATATAGTTTAAATTACCGGGCGTGCTAACACAAACGCAACCACGTACGCTGTTGTTTGTGATGTCGTGGCTTCTCTATTGGGTCCGTGTTTGCATGCTCTGTTACATTAACCTACCAAATAGATCAGCTGTTATTCTCAGTCCTTGCTTCGTCACCAAATGTTCTCCCTTGTGAAAATCTTGTTCCAAGTTAGTAGAATTGATATTCATTGACAACTCATCGTGCAATGAACAAAACTTTAGTGACAATTCCTATCGCCACCGTTGTAAATTGGTTGCCAAGTGTTGAAAAGTGGCCACAGTGAAACTGGTCGCTGTGATCGGATGTTTACCCCTATAGAAGTCCATTGCTCTCGCGTGCTGGAGATTTCGTGTTGCCTTTTTCCTGTTAGTATAATTACTATGGGTTTGCGGAATAATATACGTTTATATTTAGCGCACGTCTTGCTTTTCAAGCATTTTCTACTGAACCTGTCTCGCATGGTTTATAAAAATCAATCTGAGTAAGTCTACAGCCCAGGCCTTGGTTCACGTACATTTGGCAAAAAAAAAAAAAGAAAAGACGCGAAAACGATAATATCGGATCTCACGTCTCTTTTTCGCTCACCTTCCTCAGAGCATTATCGGAGTGCTTTTCGGTGGCGGCCCCCGTCGGAGCCCCTGGTGTCTTGGCGTCCGCCTTGGTCGCTTCCTGTGCGCCGGTGGTGCCTCCGTTCACAGGCGGTTGCTGCCACAGAGGCATCAGCGGCAGGGCACCACACTGCCACATGCCCTTGGACTGTGGTCCGTCGCCCGTTGGCAGCGAAGGGTACAGTGGCACGCCACCCACGTACATCACTGCACAAAAGGAAGAAGGGCAATGATCACTCATTAGTCACTCATTAGTATCCGTGAAGTGAGAGCCCTCAGATGCTACCGAGCTAACGAGCAAATAATTATCACAAAAGAAGCCCCAAAATGTTTACGACTTTCGCGAAGAAGTAAAAAAAGGCAAACAACTAATTTACCCATTCTTAAAAATATTTTCAGATATAGTAAAAATGTCACTGAAATACAAAGGGGAGCTGGGAAAACACGTAATTGATTTGTAGGCAAAAAAGCAAAAAAAGCGCAACTATGAGTGAAAGCCCACATTTCATTTTTAACATTGTCTACAAGGTATACCTTCATTGGACTGAATGCGCGTATGCCAGTGTATGGCGAGCGTTACTGGATGGTTGCCCCAACGTATGTTCGACTTCAACACTCAACTACTGAAAGTCGTCGACAGCACGCCATTAGTGAAAGACGAACGCGCTATTGGTGACCGTGATGGCCGCTAACTATATTTGACAAAAAAATGCAAATAAGCAACAAACAAAAACGCGCCAAGACACCAGAGAATTCCACAAGTGACTCGGTGAAAAAAGAAGCACAAATCTGTTAACTATTAGCGGGGCTGCCAACTCTGCGCGAAGCGGAAGCAAGAACAGTAAACGTATTTGTCGTATAGTGTGGGTCACTGAAATTGATGCATTGTAACATACGTTACAAGTTGTTTTCAAGGTGCTTTAACATCAGCGATTTATTTATGATGTATACAAGAGACACACAAAGATAGGACACACATGTTCCCGAGTCATCTGTAGTGTCCTATTTCTTTTTTGCATTACGCCCCGAAGGACCTATACAAGATGCCGCCCGGGTCCAAGGACTTCGAGCGCTCACCTGAGGCACCACCATCATAATGGACGGAGAGTGGGAAGGGACAGGGATTAATCCCTTCTTTTTCCACCTCGCCCGGTGAAAACTGCCGGACTTTAAATAAAGTTCATTCATTCATTCATTCATTCATTCATTCATTCATTCATTCATTCGGTTCACGCAGTTAGCAGTCAGATAAGAAACTAAGTGGAACATTAAACAAAAAACCAGAAACGACAGCATTGCTCCTTGCTTGATAGTTGCGGATTTCGGTCGGTCATCCGCAAAGAAGCCAACTAAGGCCGGGCATTGTTGTAACCGGCTCACCCAAGAACGAACGGACCCAACAGTTCAGTATTAGACCGAACCACAGATAATGCTACATGCCTCTACATACCGGGTATGAGAAATGGCGTAGTGTTGGCGGTGGACTGCGCGCCCCCTAGGGGCACGTAGGTGTAAGTGGGTATGGCCAGGTTTGGGACGAAGGCAGCCACGTTGTCCTGCTGCGAGGTGACCAGCGATGCGGCGGCGTGCAGCAGTGGAGGAAATGGCGCAGCCGACGAAGCTGCTGCTCCAGCTGCCGAGCCTGCGAGTGGCGAAGAATGCGCGGTCACTCTTGGCAGTTCACTTCTTGTAGCGAAGCATAGATTCAAGAAGCCTTGTCCTTATGCGCTCGTTGACTCCTGTCATCGGCGCAGGACGCTATGTTGCAGCTGTATCTAGGCACAACCTGGGCTTGCACACTCGACGTGACTTATCACAACTATATATATATGTGTGTGTGTGTGTGTACGAAGAGTTCGGCTTATGGTATAATTTCGGTTTATGGCATCATGTGTCGAGAGAAGATCGAGAAATTTCTGGCGGTCATGTTGAGATCGCATGTTCTCAGGTGCCTCGACAACTGATCGGCAGCGTTCTAAGACTATGCTTGAAAAAGTGTTGAAGAGATCTCAAAGATTATGGACCAATTGTCCTGGTAACGAATTTGGTTACTCTACCACTGCCGTTGTACGTAGAGTAGTTGAACGTTTGCCTACCGTCTGCCACCGTGCTTTCCCTGCACGACTTGTTGTGCTTGTGCAGGTTCGAGTTGACGAGCGGCGATCCGCTGCGCTTGAGCCGGTGGCTGTCCTTGTGGTCGTCCGCGGTCGTGCCGCCTCCGATGCCCATACCGGGCTGCGGCTGATAATGTTGCTGCTGTGGCTGTTGGTGCTTATTCATGTGCTTGTATGCCAGTCGGTTGTACTGCAGGAGCACCTCCTCGGTGAGCGGCGGGCAGGGCGGGTACTTGTCCTGCACGCTCGCGGCTCCATGCACTGCCGTTGCGGCTGCTGTTGCTGCTGCTGGCTCGCATCTGCTGCTCCTGCACACGCGATTCCGACGCCAGACACTGTGAACTACAGCGTGCTGAATTTTGCGCGCTGGGCAGCTGTTACGTCATGAATTACGGCTGTCGCCCGCCAGGAATTTCTACCATTGAAACTTGCCAGATTCAAAAGCGTATCGACGATGTGGCCAGCCAAGCAAGATGTCATGTGCATTGATTGAAAACCAGGATGTGACACTTACGTAATTACGTTGTGGTTTCGACGCAAAATTTTCTTTATATACTGAACTATGTGTGACATGTTGTAAACAGTATCTGGAATAACAGTTGCTACATAAAATATGAAGTAGTACTTGCGCGGCCCCTTGCTGCCAAAATTTATGCGGTAAACTTTGCTCTCTTCGTTTATGTTGCAATTATGAACACAAAAATTAAGAGACTCCAGTGACTGTCGCTGGACATTGAACTTCGACCATTAAAGACATCTTCGCTGTTAAAATTGTTGAAGTCAGCGCCCTTCCTGTCCCGGACAGACGTGTCTGCGTCAAGATGTAACATTTGCATGCATGATATGTGTGAATTACACTTTCTTGCAAACGCATGGTGACTTATATTTGCGTAAGACCACCGCTTATTGACACTTTTGACTTCTTTTGAAAGACTCAGTCCGTGCATGAACATTGTTCTCTTGTCTACTTCTTGTTACAGGGCTGGTAATATCAGTGGTGCTCACTTTAGTGTGCCCTTGAACAGAGAGTTAGAGAATGTACGAGCTAGAGAATGTACAGTACGTACATCTCTAGCTCGTACTGCAATATTTTTTACAGGAGTCAAAGAACAATTTACGTCAAAGTTAAAGCTCAATGCATGACAACGTATTTGATATTATCAACAGTAGTGCCCTACTTGCAAATAAATTAACTTAAATGCACGAGAACACATGCGCTATTCGCATGACGTGTAATGTACTGACTACAATTAAGCACTTGCAATCGAACTAGCTGCACTAACTAAAGAAACTTCTGTGCATCAAGAGACGTAACAAAAATTGTGCTTGTTAGTTTCTGTTTAATTCATGGAAAAAATAACTGCCGGTCGTTATTAAGGGCGAATGGCGCGAGTGGTTCAAAAGTTCAATTTTCGTCTGGTTACACTGAACAGGTCTTGCCATCTAGCGGGTCCCAGTTAAACCAAGCAAGTCTGCCATCTCGCAGGCCATGGCAGAAAATTGTTCAATGGCCGTTGTCGCTGCTGCTGCTCCCGCTACTTTCGTTCTGCTGCTACTAGTGTCGGCGGCCGCTCAGTAAGGCCGGGCAACGTTGTGACGTGACACCTTCCGCTTTAGGCGGGTAATTTGAAGTGCGTCAACCCAATGCGGACCACTAAAACGTGATTTTATTTCAAAATAAGTAATTCCTTGGCACAAAATTAACACTACGAGGTTTCTGGACCACTACTTCAACAACCAACGTCGACTTGTCAGTTGCCTTTAGATCATTCAAGTAAACGTGCCTCTTTAAAAAAAAACGAGAGGCTTTCCTGAGATACTTGACCGCAGAAATTTTGGTCTGTCTCTCTGTATGTCTGTGACGCGAACCAGCCAGCCGGCCAAAGTTTAAACACTTGCTGAACGCCCAGCCGTCATGAACTGGTGGCTGCGTTCATACTTCTGAATATTGTCGATCAAAAAAAAATTGCCCGCAGCTTCCCTCGGGGGAACACTGAGGAGGATGCGGACCATATAATTGGTTAACGGGGTGTTAAAGTGCGACTTACTTGGGTCGATGGCTAAATTGGTTAACGTGGTTGTGAAATGGGGTGTTAAATTGCGACTTACTTGGGTCGATGGCTAAATTGGTTAACGTGGTTGTAGGAGGGGGTGTTAAATGAGTGAACACGTACACACGTATGCGAAAGGGCGGCGCTGGTCGAAGGGACGTCGATCATTGTGTTTGTGGATTCGTTGGAATTCATTTCACCGCGACCTTGGACGTCGACGCGCCGTACAAACCAACCGACGAGCGGCAACTGAGCGAGCGAGCGCCGACCTTGAGTATATATACAGCACGACGGCGCATGCACTGTCAGCTGTTGAATGTTCTCGAAGCGCGACGCCACATGCGCGTCCACTGGAGAATCAGGAGAATTGTAGATGTCGAACGCGGTGTGTAGAGGAGGAAGGGTGCACAGATGGTGGAGGAGTGAAGCGCGCGCGGTGTGTAGAGAAGGAAGGGATGCACAGATGGTGGAAGAGTGGGCGACGGCGCGACGGCGCATGCGCGCGCGTCAGCTGTCGAATGTTCGAGAAGCGGTGCGGATGGCGCGGACGGCGCACTACAAGGCGCGAGTATAAGATGCTCCGCATCTAAAATGAAATTGTTACGCATATCTGAGGCGCAATATCAATACGTAAGTATTAGGTGTTGTGTTCCTTTACTAGAAACTACATATACGTTATTCAAAAGACACTAGTGTCTATTAGGGTGCGCTGAAAATGCGACGCTATGCAGGAAGAAGGTTGGCAAAACACTATCGCCTTTTTTTTAATCTCTAAGAACAAGCAGTAACCCACCTTGACAGTTAAGGACTCATTTCCAGAGTCGCCAGTCGTGACTGAAGAGTGCTTTCTCTTAGAGTCGGAACTACGGCCGCCGCCAGCGCTGCCTCCGCCACCACTGCCGGATCCGCTGCCAGCCACTTCCTCCACTGCCTTTACTTCCGCTGCCACTTCCGCTGCCGCTGCCGCTTCCGCATCCGATGCCGCTCACTCCACTGCCTCCAGCACTGGCGTAGTTGCTGTCGACAACCGCGAAGTCCGAGGCAGACTTGTCTTCGGAGGATTGCGGTGAAGCTGCACACAGGGGGGAGCATCGTGACGTGGGGTTCGCCCACGGTGTTATCGATGGAGGTTCAAAGGAACCACATCGATATGTAAGCCGGCACAAGCACACGAGCACAAGTGCCATTGAAAGTGTGTTGGCCGAAGTTTCTTCTGTTTGGGATAGTTCGTTCTTAGCCATCAGTGACATCTAATGACTCAGAGCATATAGACAGGCCGGAGTGGTGGTTTATTCTGCGTTTGGTTTATGCGGGAAGCAATTTATCAGAAAAAGCGCCGTACAGCAATAGTGTAGATCCCGAACAAGCTTCACAGTAGGAACGAGGCTACGGTGAAGGAATGATACAGGTAATACTTTGTGTCTTCAATAGTGATAAGCATCTTTATCTGATTCGAAATTTTTGCCATTTTGGATTTCGTGCAGATAGGCCTTGCCACGCTGTTCAAGCTCTCCTTATTATTAAGATCGGTTAACTAGGGAAATGAAGCGAAAAGACTTCCATGCGCGAACACCAGAGAATATTGTACGACATCAGACAACAAAAGATAGCGATAATTTAACTGTATGTGGTCTATTTTAGTTAGGTCAGAAACTAGCGTGCGATTGCAACAGTGCAAAACTCGCTACCCACAACAACCTGACTTCGAAACCCACATGTAACTGCAAAACAACCTCATGATGGGTTTCTTCGATCGAGGTTGCCCTCATGTTTGACAGAAAAGAGCACATGAATATCGATATATGTGTTTGATTGAATCCTACAATAATTTTGGATTCGAAAGGTGACGACGACTTTCAGTGTGATCACGGGGAATAAAAAAAACACATCGCTCACCTGTGGCCTTGATAGCCTCTTCCTCGCGGTTCTCGGGTGAATTCCGATCGTTGTCTATTTTCATCTCTGCTGGTTCGTCAGACGAATTCGTCTTGGGATTGCTCGCGAAGAACCTGCGTACGAAAAGTGGATATTTCTTTCTTTGTGATTCGACGGCGATTTATCAGTAAAGATTGAAGAAATGCGTTAGAATTATCGATAAAAATCTGTATTTATTTTGATAACCGAGAATACCGAACTTTAAATAAATTCCGGGTTTTTCATGTCAAACCCCACAAATTATCGCGGGGTACCCGTCAGAACGCTGCCGCGGTGACAGGGAATCGAACCCGTGTACTCGAGGTCAGCAGTACAACTCCTTGCCAAGCCAGATATTGCATGGTGGGTCCCAATATTAACCAACAGTCCTGCTGATATACAGGTACACGGAGTAAATTTCTCATCAAAATGATTGATTGGGTCAACTGGTGATTGGTTGTTTGAAATACGAGCGCGATACGTATAGACAGAGACAGGAACAACACGAGCAAGCGCTCAACTTTCTCAAGGAAGCGCTTGTCAATGTCTTTCCTGTCCCAGTTTACGTATCGCGCTCGTATTTCAAAGGTTCTAACGGGAGCTGGTACACATTTTTTGCCCTTTTGTGACTCCTACCGTAACGCAATAAAAATTCTCGTTCTCGATTCTCTTGGAAGACAGTGCCATTAATAATTTTTTTTTCAAATCAGGGCATATCGGGGATGTTTGGCTCTTTTGGCCTTTGTGTATGGTTAGAACAACACTGACTCTTATCGAAGGACCAATGGTGTCTTCCACAAGACGGCACAAGACGTGACGACAAACTATTCCTCTAGATTGAAGGTAAGAATATCTTAATTTTTCACAGGCTGCTCCCCCGCAACTTTACAGCCTTTTATTTTTTTTTCATGAAAGCAGCCACATCTCATAGCAACTCACCTCTCAATATTTTCTTGGTATCTTATCTCTGGATGTTTGGCGGCGACTCGCTTGAAGGGTCTGAGTCGTGAAGTTCCTGGTGCGGTGAAATCTCCCCCATCACAACCGATCCAAGGTCCTAGATTCAGGTACAAGAAAAACGCAAGATTAATCAACTTAGGCTTAAAAGTTTCCGAGCGAAAAATAATTGCTTTCGCAAGTGATCCTGGGTATAGTGCAATGTGAAACACTGAATTTTTTTCCCCCAGAAAGTCGCACTTTTTAAATGTAACTACGCTGCCACTACATTTGATAAATTTATAGGTCATCTTTCTAAGCACATCGAAATTGCATGAATGTCAATTGGTATTTCACGTACTTTTACCTTTACGGCGTCGACTGTGCTCACTGCACTGTAAGGAGCGTTACTCTCAGTTCGAACATATATAGGTAGAACATATTTTCAAATACGATACATTCGAGATAAACATTCGAGATAAATAAGCCATGTGTTTTTTTTCAACTTCGTTAGGTGAAAAGTCCATGAATAAATTCCCCTATGAGCCTCTTTAGCTAACCCAAGTTGTCTCAAGTACCATTATGCATAAAATTACAAAAGTATCGTTAGGATACCAGGGCACAAATATAATGAACACTTTGTCACACGCACACAAACACACACAATCTCAAATATTACTCACTGAACACGTGCATCCTTCAGCAGTTGCGGCTACTTGCTCCTCTCCTGGATGTATGAAGCAAGGGGAAGGTAAGAAAGAAAAATCCTATTTGTGTTACTTGAATATGTGTAACTCATCAACTTTGCAATGCTTACGCGAAAATCCAGCACGTATAACGTCACACTGTTTTATGAAAATTTGCTCTTGGCCGAGATGGTGTTTAAGTTTGCTTAGCATGTCCGCCGCGGTGGTGTAGCAGTTACGGAGTTCGGCTGCTGAACTGCTGGTCACGGGTTCGATTCCGGCCGTAGTTGTCAGACTCGAACCTTGAAATACGAGAAGCCCGTGCACAGTGCGATCTCAGTGCACCTTAGATAACACCGAATCGTTCGAAATGCAGCGTCACGTGTTTCACGTTATTGATGTCATTGCATAGTAGCTGATGGCTTCATTTTATGCATGAGGGCATATCGTCGTATGCATAACATTGCTCCAGAGATCCGTAATATAAGGCAAGGAGTTTCAGCGTCGTAAGAGATTAGATAACTTCTTATTTTAGATACTTCAGCGACCAAAGAGGAAAATGGGTAAACATTTGTTGAACGCACTATTAAGACGTGTTTCATTTTGAGTCTGTGACACCTATCCGATCATATATGGGCGGTACATTAGGACAGGCATGGCACAACAGTGGCGTCTTGTTTTTTTTTATTTATACTACAGGAGAATGCGCAGTCAATATGCTAAATGCTTTAAGTGGTCCCTGGGATATTCATTGCAGAGCTCGAAAAAAAAAATCTAGCGACATCCATTGCGTAGAAATAACGAAATTTATATTGGTTACATGAACTGACGCTTTAAACATCGGCAATGAGAGTGGATGGACAAAATTCAACTAAACCTTACCGGTCACTTACTACGCTGAAATCTGCTTGCATCGTTGGTTAAAGCATCTATGCCTTACGCTACGAAGATTACGGAATGAGGGTACAGCATGCATTACCTTTGTCGGCGACTCGTTTATGCGTCATCTCTCCGACGAGGGTGCTGACGAATGATGCGAGCTCTTTTCGCCTCTTGTTGGATCGCTGGCGCATGTTGCTGTTCTCTCGAAGTTTCACGGGCTGTGACAGAAATCGAAACAGGTGGTTATCTCTTTGTAAGTTAATTATGCGAACTAACCTGCATGCACCCGAGCATCTGCACAATTGAATTACTCAAACAGGAAATGCAGCAGCCGAAATTCTGTGTTCGAAAACGAAATTGTCTTCGCTGACCACCTTTTCAAGCCCTGCGGACATACACTTCTGCCGTTTCCGAAACTAAACCTGAGCGCACATTTGCGGGAGTTATTGGGGAATTTGGTGCTTGTAGACAAATAAAACAGAAAAACTGGTGCAGTCCGGGCACAAATGTGCAGATTGCTACGTTGAAACTTCTTAGCTGCTCGCCGCTTTCCGGCAACCTGTTTTTTTTTTTTTCAAGATTGGCCCCGTATAATCTGTCTGCTTAAAGAGTTCCCAGAAAGATAATATATTTTCTTCGTTTGCACAGACTCTTTGAGCGTAGCTCCCGCATCTTTGTGACGTCACGCGAATCGCCTACGACGTAGGCCTCATTGTGGTCGACAATGCCTGACCAATATGGCTGGCTTGCTAATGTCCCTCCTCCGCACCTCGCTTCTCTTCCTTATCCGTTCCTATATTATACTGCACATGGCTATGCTATACTACTCATGCCTTATGCTATGCTATGCTATGCTGTGCATACTATGCTATGCTCTACCTTCTCCCCTCATCCTCGTGATCACTTCCTTATTCGCCTACTTACTGTACTATACCATAAGTGGCTGATCTATGCAAGATTTGGCCTGCGTGATGTCATACATTGCTATGCTATGTCTTACCGTCTTCCTTCCTCACTCTCATTTCCCTTTCCCGCCTTACTATACATGGATATTCTGTGCATTGCTACGCTATACATGGTTTCGCCTGCCTGACTCAAAGTGACGACATGCAATGACAGCAGATGACATGATGCACATATGTATCTATTAGGCGAATATGAACTGTCGTTTGAGGATCTTGTGTGCGGAACATATGAACCTATTGACTGTATGTGAGGTGACCTGTGAAGTTTTGTTAATGTGTACTTTCACATCGTATGTTGTACAGGTTCGCATTCTGTGCCCTCATTGTTAATCTTACGGCATATATTGCCTATTAGGAGAAAAGGAGTAGCCAGTGCCAACATAACGGCACCAAACTCCCCTATTTCATCATTTTATTTAAAAAAAGAAACAAGACACGATAGCCCACCCCGGCTCCTGAAGTGCTCCGTAAGAGTGAAGCGTTCCAGGAAGTCCCAGTGACGATCTTCTTGTGCTCCCGTCTAAACCTTCCTGGTACCCTTCACCTTGACGTGATGTATCAAATGGCCCACAAAACCACACTGTTAAATGCTTCGTATTTTTGAAATCTGCATTGTGGTAGCGGATTCGTCATACCGAGGTCCATCACGCATCCGTACCTGGGAAAGGATGTCCTTGATCTGTTCCTGTATGAGTCTGTTGTTATTGTGGGCTTCCCCCGTCATGGGCTGGTCACCCATGAAGTGCTCGGGTGACGACTCGGCGAACACGTCTGGGTTCCTCGGGCCCCTGTTGCGGTCATTATGAACTGTTACTGCGGTTTGAAATGACAGGCGCAAACGAAAGAGGGAGAGAGAACAAAGAGGGTGTTTTGCAACTGACAACCGGAAGCATAAAGTTGAAAAGTAGAGAAAAGAAAATAGAAACTGAAAATGGAAAGTACTAGAGAGAAGGAAGAGCAAGATTACGGGTCACATTGACAAACTATGGTGAATAACAATGAACATATTTCTGACGTGATAATGAAGAGACGAGAGAGAGACGCAACATCAAGACTCGTATTCACATAATGCTATCAGTGCATCCTATCAGTGTGCTAAAATATTTAAAAAGGAAGCCGTAGTGACTGCACGATGAGTGACGAAGTGGACTGTCTTAACAGCAAGTATTTAAAAAAACGAAAGGGAGAGACGTGATCGTGCCGATACGAAGTCGCAGCTGATATTATAGTCGTGAGTCAGAAATGCAGATGTGTGGTGTCTATATGAGGCGGGAATTGCAGGCCTAAGATCTAAAGGAACGAGATACGACACGCAGATGTAAGGAGTAATACCAAGGCGGTGCTTCTACGTTATTTCTCCACTTGGGCCTTTTGAACATGTACGTAGTTAAAAGTATAAACATCTACTTCACGACTTTTATTAGAATGCGGTACTCTATCATTAGGCAGTATCGTAATAGTTGGTTAACTTATTTTTGTTGTGGGTCCTTTTTTAAAGACACAAGCATTCGATACCTCGTCAAACAAGAATAGTGACCACCTACACATCGCGGCTTCGGTGGGGTTAACACGAGTGAAGAAAAAATAATCCTCATCACGTGATAAAATTACCCCATGACGTCACCGTAATATCACTGTACGCCGAAAATTGCGGCTTAGTGGTGACGTCACTATAACGTCACTTCTACCGGCGTCATGTGACGACGTCGTCACATGACACCGCCGCTAGGTCATGTTCTATTCATGGAACATGACCGTATCATGGCATACCGCATCATGGGAGCACTGCAAGACCACATGGTGTGCAGACAGCTATGGACTTCACTTACTACCGTTTAGCGATATCGAGATGTACATGCCATGACAGCGTTTCATTGTAATTATCAGCAGTCTAACTCGAAATATGTCGCAGCACACACAAAAACAGGCATTCCATCGGATAAACAATTGTAGAGTGCCAACGTGATTTAGGCCTTTGAAGGTCATACCCTGTTTTCCTTTTTGCGTAACTGCTTGTTTCAATGCTGAGCTTATTCGTGCAAAACAAGGGAACCAACAGAAACGAATGTGTACTCACTCGATAACCCTGTGCTGGCCGACCACGAACTCAAGCTTTCGCGTCCAGGGATTGATGAAGCAGGACCAGTCTGTCTCGAGCTTAATAAAACAACCATTGAGCGCCCTGAAACGATACGGCTTGCTTCTGAAAGAGTGGCCTTGCTCTTTCATCACTGCGAGAGGGGAAAAAACACGACAAAGAAGAAAGCAATTTAGAAAAAATCCATTTTTTCCGGTTGTTGTTCGTTATAATAACGCATTAGACTATGCACACAACTAATGATGAGGGTGGTACCTGTCTATTCTTCGTCTATTTTCAGTATTTATGCAGAAAACTGAATAACAGCTGTCACAAATGCCACCCACATCTTCCCACGGATCCCTGGGAACTGGAGTAAGTCCGCCGCAGAGTGACGGATGCATCGCGTGAATGTTGCGCAATCGGGTATGGTCTGGCAATGCTAAATTGTTATTTGGTATTTATTATTCTTATTTATTGAATGAAGCTTGAGAAGCGTTGCCTTTAACGTCAAGCGAAAGCCAAGTAAAGACGCCAAGTAAAGACTATCGAGTGCCTACATATACGGGGTGACCAATGAACGGTTGAGCAGCACGAGCAGTCTTTTTTTTTTTTTTTTACTAGCAGACGCTGCTTGCGTCAGCCTTCCGAGACGAGAGAGGGAGAGGGGAGCGACAGTTTCACGGATGTCTTCCTGGGCCGGCACGAGACGCGAGCATGTGCAGGGGGGTTGTAGACGGCGCCGACGCCGACGCTCGACAACGTGCGACTAAGAAATGCTCCGAATTAAAAAAGAAACGACGACAAGAAGGACAAGAGGGAATCTGAGTACACTAGCTTGCTCCTATCGACATTTCGCCACAAAGAACTTCATGGAACACATTGATGCCCTGTTTGGAATCAGCACTGGGATTCGTCGCTAAGGGTAAGTAAAAAATACTCGTCATTCTGTTGTAGAAGCGTGCCAGAAAAAAAAATGTTTCCCGCTTAAAGGAAATTAGCGCCACCTGTCACTCTTGATATGAACCACGGTTCCGTTCAACAACACTGGTATTTAAGTGTCAACACTTTGAAAGTGATGTACATCACTAGGGTGCCTGAGGTGATCGCTGGGAAGGCGTAAATACACTCACCCAAGTCGTAAATGTCCCTCAGCAACTCCATGTCCTCCGGACAGTAAAAATCGAACACTGAATGGCCCAGCATATCTTGAGGCAAGTATCCAAGGTACACTGCAGCGCTGCACGTGGCATCAAATGTGACATGATTAGGAGATATTGTAAGAATTAGAATCAATGTTATTATCATGTCAAAGTTGACGTATAGCAATGCTGTCAGGTAAAACTACTCATTATTGCAAAGTTTGTTTACAAACCCACAGCACTACAAAGTAAGCACATTTTTTTACCTGCATCTACACTGCAGAACATAGCTTTACGGAGATGTTAGTGTAAAGCCCCCTTTACCGTGAGATCACTGAGATCAGTGGACGTGATAGGCTAACGCACTGATACAAGTATCTGAAAGTTGGCCAGTGATATTCATCACTCGTCTTTCGAGGCTGACATTATGCGTTAGAGTGTTAAACGCTTAGTTCTTCCCTCTTTCACTGGTGCTACAACTGCCATCAAGATCCATAGCATGACAACGAGCTAGTAAGACAACATGCTTAATTTTTGGTGCAGGACCTGTTTGGGCAGATCTCAGTGAGTATGTAAACGAGATGATTCTTCGGTAAATGGCAGGTGACATAACATTACAACAATGACGTTTACTTTAGGATATTTTAACAGTTGGGATGAAGGAAGTAGAGGCGAACGGTTTCATCGGATATGGCATCTGGCAATTTGATGTATCGTAACAGCTATTTCTTATTGGAATGTTTCAGTTTTTGCCTAAAATTCTCGATAGACTGCCAGTACATCCATACTTGAGTGTTTTTATATTTCTACGAGTTTCAAGAGATAACATTGTTATCGGTTTCTGTCTTCATTGATCCATATGGGTTCTTTGGTTGTTGAAATTTTCGAATAAAGAATGTCTTCATTTGCTCAGTATCGTCATTCTAAAGGCAATTAAAGTCTCACCTGAGATCAACGTGGCTGTAATGGCAGGATGCGGTATGACGTGTGGAAAAACACGTCATGGCGGGAGTTTCCGCTGGCACTGTAAAATAAAGAACGGCTTCTTAGTTTATTGTTCCCACGTTTAATTGTTATAACTGAGGCTATTAGTTTACGGCTGGACATCGTAAAACAAAACATTCAAAAATTCCGCTTGTCAGTCGCAGCAAAAACAGTACTTAAGGAGCTACTAAACAGGAGCTAGATATTGATTACAATAGCTAGAGCTGAATGTCTCCCGTAAACACAGTTTAGCCTTACGTATTCGTATTCATTACGATCAAGCACCGTTCGCTGTAGCGCACGGTTGGCGAAGAGGGTGCAAGAACTACCACGACACAACGCTTCCTGGCAGTGAAAGGTGGTTGTCGCTTTAAAGATTAGAGTACCCCGTCCTTTCACCCTTCATATTTTGTCTTGGTTGCATCCAGGAAGCTTTGCGCAAGTTTACACTACCGATGACGCTTAAGCATTGCTTGTTGCAATGAGTGAACTTTTGCGGGAAATGTAATCTCGGAGGCACTTATGACGCACTTGAGGCTTCATACAAGACTGCGACACTCAAAATTATATTCACGCGTACAATCAGTAACATCACAAGTATATATGTGAAGATGGTCATCAGCTGAGGGTGTTCCCCAACAGGAACGAGCTTATACAATCATAATCTTGCATGGACAAAAAATGATCTAGCCAGTTCAGCACCATGAAAACCGCCAGACAGCGAAGCTGTCACCCATTGCGTAAGGCATTACTTCGCTTCACATCTCTCGGCGAGGCACAGCTCTTTCTGGCAAGTCTCTCCTGCCCCTCAGGTCACGTGACTTACGCCTCGCCACCCTCGACGAAACGCAACCCACTCCACCGAGCGTATATCTCGCCCCTAAAATCATGTGACCTACGCCTCGCCACTTTCGGTGGCCGGCAGCCCATTCCCCTTTCTGCGGAGCTTCACTCTCTCCCCTCAATCCACGTGACATACGTGACGCCTAAGCCACTCTAACTACTACGACAACGGCAGGAGGCAGCATGAGACGGCTTCGCAGCACAATAAACCAGTGTAAGGCTGCGACGTCAGACGTTCGCGACTCACCCCTGTAGGCCGTCTTGATGGCGACTGTGGTGACCACGAGGCACATGGCGGTGGAGGCGTTCTCGACGCTGACGTCATCTCCGTTGGCGGCATCCTTGATGTAAACGGACATCTGGAACGGCTTGTACTGCACCTTCTTGTCCGAGATGCCATAACCGTATTTCAGGCTCTGGTATTGCCTGCTCGTTTGGACGTCGTCGTAGCCGAGCGAGAAGAGAGAAGCAGAGGAAGTAAACACCGTTCTGGCAACGATGTAGACATTAAGGGTCCTTGGCGGCACGACAGAGCACTCGATGGCTTCGACTGACGGTGAGCACATTCAGCAAAAAATGGCGACGTGTCTGTTTGTGTGCTGCAAGTGTAAGTGTGATAGCAGAAACATTCGTTCTTTTTTCTGAGCATTTATTACCACTGCGTGAAGTTCTGTCCATGAAGTGACCTCTGACAATTTATAGGTACCTTCGATTGCCCTTTAGACTTGTCTGTCTGTAGGGAGCCTACAGTCACTCTTTAATCACTGTGTGAATTCTCGAACACAGGTTGCCGCTGGAGTAAGCGTTTCGGCAAGAAGTCTTGCCTTCTTTCAAGGTGGAACTCGATGTGATAAGGCTGCCGCTGAGTTGAAGCCTTGAAGACAAGACCTCTTGTCGAAACGTCGGCTACAGCGCGACACTCTGTGCGCACGAATTGGCGGTCTATCCAAGCACCCATCTTCTCCTAAATTTCTTCCTTGATAGTGTAGGACTAAAAATTCAGGGGTGCAAAAAGTTTTAGTGTGCTCTTTGGCTTGCTTGCTATTTTTAAATATAAATCTAACGACCGCGACCTTGTTGAAATACAACCGAACAATATATGTATATCTGATTACCACATAATCGCCTAGAAGTGTCTGGGCGGCAAGCTCCGAGTAAGACTGCAGCGTTCAAGTGGTTAACAGTCATGTTGACCAACGAATAAAATTGTGTGCTTTGCTTATCTTCTCTTATAGGTCTCGTGCGCCTATATAGAGGCGACGTGATAACGTTTTGAAGTTAACGCGGAAGCATGTCGCTCACGAGGAAACGTCAAACCACTCATGTGCTACGCGTATGATTACCTGAATCTGCATAGGAAGGTGCTCTGGCTTCGGCTGTGGCAAATACCTCGAGGAGGGAAGAGGAGAAAGAAAGAAGAAGCAAGAATAAGTGCATCTTTTGCAGATCGCCACCAGGTGGCTCTGGATCGGGAAACGGGGTGACTTGCACCGTGGCGCTTGGCAAAGTGTACTGCCACCAGCGGTGGCTCTGCGAATTGCCCATACCTTTCGCGTCCTCGTTGAACCAAGAGTTGAGGCCGTGGCTTAGGTGATTGGCGAAAGTGATGCGGTCACGGGGGTACAGGAAGTTCATTATGCATTGACCGAGCAGCATATCCTGTGAGAAAAATATATGGAAAAGACAAGAAGAAGAAAGCACGAACCGAAGGTCAGATTAAGGATTCCCAGCAGAAACGAAACGTCAAAAAAAAAAGAAGTCCCACTCTAGAGCAGACGATACAACGGGAAAGGGCGCAAAGCATACATTGCAGGGAGAGGGAGACAATCAAAGCAAGTATAGTTTAAGAGTATAGTACATGGGTGTCGGCAGAATTTCGTTTTGGATACAGAAACCTGTGTTTGTAAACCCTTGTTGGTGGCCTCCCAAACCATAGGTAAGGGTTTAGTTTGACTTGAAGGGGAGGCCACACTGCTGTGGTTTAGCGGGAAGTGCGACTAGCCTTTTTGCACCTGCCCTCCTTCCACGCTAAAACACATGGTGTAGCCTAACAAGGAAAGCCTCAGCTGGGAGCCAAAGTTTCGGCCAGGCACAACAGCAAGGGCACTTAGTGAAACCTTTATTCGATACTAACGGTATCGTTCTCATCCCCCTTTCTCTCATTTCTATTCCCCTTTCTAATTAATTCAGCGTATGGTTGCCAGTTGTACATGTTTCTGTTAACCTCCCTGCTTTCTCCCCCCACTTTTTTTTTCCTTCCTTCCTTCGGGCTTTGCTGACCCCATTCAGTTTTCATGTTTCCGTGAAGCGTTTTTAAGCTGTTCCGTCTGTGCTACGTTTCTTCAATCACTGTTGCAGCCTCATTGTCAGAACTTGAAACTCAAAGTGTCTGTGACATTTAACACTACGCGCTGCCAATGGACGAGAAGAAGGCGACAACAGACAGAACGCAAGGTACCGCTCTTGTGATTTACCTTTGAATAGCCGAGGTGAGATGTGATGGAGCCAGATACGTAGATGATTGTTCCGTCTTGAAGGGACACAGCAATAGCAAATCCTTCCTGCAAGCAGTGCACGCGTAATTACACCATAAGAAGGTAGATACAGCATACCGCACTTCAATAAAAACATGGTGGAAACTAAAGGTGGCACTACCAAAGCAGACTCCCACAGTCGGTTACGACCTAGGAGTAAGTGAAAGCTACGCCCACAATGGTATTTGTGTAGTTATAAAAAAATCACAACACATCCACGGACTGAATGATGATGAGTGGGGCGAAGCGTCCGTCAGTCCATCCGCACTTCCATCCGTCCGTTCGTTCCTGCTTCCGTCCATCTGTGCGTCCGTCTGTGCATTTGTCCATGTGTCAGTTCATACATTCGTCCGTGCGTCCGTTCATTCGTCCAACCATCTGTCCGTGTGTGCGTCTGTCCATGCGTCCGCCTGTGCGTCCATGCGTCCGTTCATTCGTTCGTGCGTCCGTCCGCGCGTTCATCCATCCGTTATTCTAATTGTCTATTTGTCCACCCGTGCGTCTATCCGGGCGTCCGCCCATCAAGTGAACGCTCCAAGTACCACCATCTCGCATCTTTTCATCATATATTCATCATATACAAGCACCGCTATCCAATGGACATTCCAAGGACTAAATGAGAGGCGGCTACCTACTACTACTACTACTACTACTACTACTACTACTACTACTACTACTACTACTACTACTACTACTACTTCGCGGACGCACGACCCATGGCATAAGGAGCTTCGCACCTAAAAAATCACAGCATATCCACGGAGTTAATGATGATGATGAATAGGACGAAGCGTCCATCAGTCCTTCCGTGCGACCGTCAGTTCGTGCGTCTGTCCGTGCATTCGTCCATCCATGCGCCCGTCCGTCCATCTAGTTTACCCTTCAAGTACCACCATCTCGCATATTTTCATCATATATTCATCATATACAAATACCACCATCCAATGGACATGCAAAGGATTAAACGAGAGGCGGCTACCTACTACTACACCTATTAATACTACATATATCTGGGACGCATGACCCACTGCATAAGGAGCTTCGCCCCTGAAAATGGGTAACGATATGGAGTTCTAAGTTACTATACAATGGAGAGCAAAAAGCCATCCCGTGGGCCTCGCACTTGATGTGTGTTTAGAACAAGTGGTTAAAGATTTCGAGCACTAGGTACTCTACTAGGGGAGAGCATATAGCCGCATGATGCGTTTAGAAAAAATGTTTAACGATTTCGAGTACTTCGATGCGTATTGCAGCGCGTAAACGTTTGTGCAAATGACCGATCTGATTCAATTTCAAGTAGCTTATCTTTACATAGAGACACTTGTTTATGTCACTGGTTCTTGATTAAACAACTTGAACTTACTTACAAATTTCAACAAAGAGCATGACATTTTGCTCTAGGATATATATTCTATTGAGCAGGGACGACGAGCTTTTAGTCGATGGTACGCGCAGTATTCAAATGAACAGCGAAAAGTACTCATGGTTACAAAAAAAAAAAAACACTTAGCACAACTCTCGTACAAATGAGTGGCAGGTGGGTCGAAGTACTGGGGAGGAAGCTTCTTTTAGGAGCGAAGCTCCTTTTTGTTTAACCTTATCCTGCGTCAGGCGTAACCAGCAGTATCAGACAAACAAACAGACCGACGGACAAATAGCGGGACGCGCGGATGAACGAAAGCATGGACGGAAGTACAGACAGACAGACAGACAGACAGACAGACAGACAGACAGACAGACAGACAGACGGACGGACAGACGGACAGACAGACGGACGGACAGACAGACAGACAGACAGACAGACAGACAGACAGACAGACAGACAGACAGACAGACGCTTCGCGCCACTCATCATTCACTCCGAGGATATGCTGCGATTTTTTTATCCTTAGGTCGTAACCATAGAGTTTCATGAAATAATAACTAGAGGGTAATCTGGCGCTAGTGTCTACGCTGGCTCCTTCAGCGGTGCTTGTACCCCCATGTGAATTATGGGAAGTACAGGCTTCGGATCCGCTTCGGATGTATTATGTTCTTGAGATTCGGGACGCTTCTTTTCTCAGTGTAGAACGAAGTAATATGGACTTGTATTTAATTGAAACTTGCTTTATTTGTTTGTATGTAAACTTCATTGCAAATGTTTTTGTGACGAGGTGGCAAAAATGAAACCAGGGCAAATTTAACCATCAGAGTATGTATTGCTCTGCCATTGCGTTCCAGATTTGGCATCAAGATGTAATGAATAATTTTTCACGACGCTTGAAAACAAACATGCTTGTTTTTCTCTCGAAAGTATGAATAATCTATTTATTGAAATAACAGTATAACAGTACAGTATTAAGTGAGAAACACTTATTGTTTCGTCTTCTTCGATGCTAGGTGCGTCTGTCCAGGTGGTCTGCCCCGAACGCACCTCTGGTTCTGTTGTGAAGTCGTGTCGGCGAAGCGTGAAGGTGCGTCTGCTTAGCTTCTTCGTCGTTTTTCAGTCGATTTAAAAAGAGTGTAGGCAAAATGCACTCGTGAAAAACCACGAACTCGACGCAATATCCTGCACTGGCATGAGACGCTACATTGATGCGCAACGGTGGGTGAACGGCACTACATTTAGACTGTAAAATACGCCACGTAAAGCTCCAACGTCGCAGCCAACTTCAAACCTATAGGTTTGAAGTTCTAAAAGGCTAAAGACCACTATAGTGGTCTTTAGCCTCTTTGAACAACAAAGGCACTGCTTCAGTGCTTTTTAATGCACCCCACTACCCGCGCTGCGCGAATAATGAAACTGAAACTATAGAAAAAAAAGTCTGTAGACAGTTCGCTAGCTGACCACATCCAATCCGAAGCCTGCACTTTGCACAATTCCCATGGAGGTACACGATTGCAACGCCGGATTCCTCTCTAGGTATTATTGTATGAAACTGATCGTAATCGTCTATAACACTGATCGAAGCAATGTTGTAAAAAGATGTGGACTTACCCCATTTTTGACACAACTCTCATTCTTCAGGTGCTTGAAAGCGCTGGATCGAATATGGGCCTTTTTGCTCGCATTGGAGGTGTCGTCAGCATGATCTAAACCGGAACCGCATAAAGAGAAAGAAAAGTACATTTTGAGTACAGATTTTAGAAAAATTTTCTTAAAGTATGACACAAAATGGCTCAGTAAATGGGCATACACTGTAGTGCGACTCTCCTTCTCAACTTTAGTGAAAGACTGCAAAAAGCTACAGTTATCTTTTAAAACCTAACAAAATTTAGCAATTCGTATCTCAATTAGGCACAACAGGCAAACGGCGGGCATTGGTGTTGTTGGAAATATAACAGACCTTGAAGTTTATACTCCGTGTACTGACATCTCGTTGGTAAAGTTCAAACATGCTTCGCTTAAGTGACGCAGAAACGACGCGAGAAGCGTGGAACGGCAAGGAAGCAGCTATACTAAAAGGCATGTTACGAATATTAAATTATTCTGTTTTAGTCTAGAAAAATCACCGAATGGCCTGATTTACCCGGAATGAATCAACTCCTTTTTAAGCGGGCAGTTCATTTCCCATCGTAGTTGACACCTGTTTCTAACTTTGGGTTACTTATTATAGCTGACGACAGCATCAATTTCGACAGTATAACTTAGTTGAAATGCATTTAGGGCTTACTTATGAAGACATATTACCGATAACATTACACTCCACTTAAGTTGTTTTTAAACACAATTTACTGCGATACTAAAAGTAACACTTGATGTTTCGGAGTAGAATTAGAAAAGATTTGTGAACTTCGAGAGAAAATGCGTGTAGATTATGTGGCTGTGAGTTAGTCAATCCCCAAGTTTTCGCTTTCGCTTCAAAAAACGTGACAACGCGGACAATAACTAAATCAATGAAATTGTTTCGCTCACTCGTAAACGTACTTTTTTACCGTTGTTATTAAGTTCTCTCGACCAATCGACATTGGACAGAACCTTCAGGCACTGCAAGAACCTAACTTGCATCTTAAGCGCTACGTCCAACTCTTCAATAAAATTAGCTGATCATTTCTTCCAGTTCCTTTGCAGGTAAATTTCCACCTGTATACTCACGCCGCTGCACAGATTGCATGAAATATAGATTTACATTAGTCTAACGGGCGTTATGGCCATAATACAACATATGATTTATCTGTTCCGCATACTACAAAACTGATACTGACTCTCGAGAAACATGGCCTTGTCCTCTCGAAACGAGGAGTTTCTGACAAGCTCTACCCGGCAGCCGATGTATTACCGAGTAAGCGATCACCTTCGAGAATCAGTGTCGACGCCTCTAACCATCCGCCAAACACGTGGACACCTTTGAAGTGACGTCACGGGCGACTCTCATTCGAATTACGCGCGCTTTTCATAACCCCGCTTCGCGGAGGCAACTTTCTCGGCGAGACGCGCAGACGCTCAAATTGACGTCGACGTTGCTTTGACGTGGCTACTTTCTTACTTTACAAGCACCTTTCTTGCGATTGTTCTTCGGTTTTCTTTTACATTTCGTAACCCCACTGACGACGCAACAGTCACATCGATCACTTGTCGAGCAATCCTCGTGACGTCAACCGAATCCACCGGGATAGACCAATTGTTTTTTTTTTTTTGTCTCCTCGGCCTGCGCAACTTTGAGTCAGCCTTTTCGGGTGGTAGGCTGACGTCCATAATAACAGTGAGCGGGTGAAGTTTCCCAAAGTCCGTGACGTCTGCTTCGAGTGACACAGCACAAGCGATTGCGAGAGTCGGGTGGCTTCGATTAGCCAAGCAACGCTGCTAAGGTTTCTTCTGAAGTTTCGTCATCGCGAAACCAAGGCGCTGCACGTGAGAAGGCAGGTACATTTGGGCGTTTGATGATCCTGACATGATGCGTCACATGTTTACGGTGCCAATTTATGGCCAAGCTGAACACAACTAGAAATGTGCGAGGTACCTGTCCACGGAGGGATCGCTTTGTAATGGTTCGGCTTCTGAAAGGTGTCAGTTATGCTGCTCATTGAAAACACGCTTCTTTTTCCTTCGCCAGACACAACTCGAGAACAAGAAGAGTTAATTTTCACTTGAAAACCACATTTTTTTTTACTTTGTAGTGTAGGCTTTGTTCACAGTCACATCATTCTTACAGATGAAGCACACTTTACAGGCTCGCTTTGTGAAGTACGAAGTGGTGCCGTTTGGTCTGTACGCGTGAAATAGCGAAACATCTATCTATGGATTTAATTTTGCGTAAGGCTTTACATATGCCTTTTTCAAAAGTAACATAGAATCCGTACAAGAAACGTTTTTTTTTTTCACAGCTGTTACTCATTCTCTGTATTCTTCATTTCTCTGAGCAATTTTCTCTGTATTTCTTCATGGAGTCTTTTTTGAAGACAACCCTGAAGATGACAAAAGTTCTGCTACTTCCCGATCCAATAAACTTCATCGCGGTAGGTAGTGTGCGAAATATTTTACCATGAAATGCTTTTTGTGCACTTGAAATCTAAAAGTGAAGGCTTAAAGCTTAGTAACGTATTAGTTTGGAAAGTCGGGCAAGACGGTTTGGGGACAATAGCTGGTTTAGTAACGTTATTGCTTAACATGATGGTGCTAGTTTCACTGGGCAATGACTGTTGTCCCTACGCGCTCTTTTCTATGCACATATAATTTTACTGCATTTTCTTTAATTGAGGAAAAGGGCGATTTGCTACGACTTAATATTATCCACCCACCAGCCGCTATACTAACACAACCAGTGGTACGGCGGTTCCCGCCGAACGCTACTAACTTGATTTCCTTGAACCTTTGGAAAAATGCCAATTCTCGCGTAATTGAGTAAAGCGGAAAATAATTTCTCTTTCACTTAAAGGTGACTCTCACGGGGATCGCGTACTGCAAACGATCAAGCGCGGAGTGTAGGTTGGTCGACGATGATCACACCTGCTAAATATAGGCACGAAAGCCGTCGAAATTCATAGCTGTAAAACGTGCTCCCTCCCCCATCTCCCTCTTTCTCTCCCATAGAAGGAGCGCTTGGAGAGACAGTGTCTACGTAACAAACACGTGCTATGTAACGAGAACACCTTGGAACGTCACAGATCGCAGCTTTTTCAAATTGCTTCTCCGTCCAATCTGGTGTCCGCAATGCGTGCGCAGCGAAAAAAAAAAAAGATATACTACCTCCCCGATAGGGACCATGGGGTGATGCAGAGCATCGCGGGGAGTTTCAACAGCGTTTTCAATGGGGGTGGTTACCAGTTAGTGGTGTTACCTTTCCGGTGAACCTTGCGTGTTATTTCGTTGTGAACTTGGTTCGTTACCACGCATCGCATGAACGATTTGTCGGAAACTACCGCGATTCTCCGCATCACGTCATGGTCCACTTCGAAATATGGTGTAATTGTTTAGTTAACGCGCCCGCTGAGAATTTTCGTTGTTCAACAATGCACGGGAGAAATCTCCCACCGGCACTACCTTGGAAGGTCAAGATCCGGTGCCTATATATACAGCGTGGCCAGTGAATGGTTGTGCAACGCGAGCAGTCACTTTTTTAAATCAAGAAACTCGCTGGCAGACGCTGCCTGCGTCGGCTTCGCGAGACGCCGCGGAGAAAAATGCCTAGAGGAGAGGGGGGAGCGAGCGTACGTTAGCAGACGCTCCTTGCGTCGGCGTTGCGAGGCAGAAGAGCGGGTGCGTAGGAGAGGATAGAGAGAGGGCACGGGCATGCGCAATGGGCGAGTTAGCGCGAGCAGGTGGTAGGAGAGAAGTGGAGAGAGTAACGTGCATCTTATGAAGAGAGGGAAGGAGGAGAGTCGCGCATGCGTAGTGTGAGAGCGGACAATTGACGCGTGACCTGCCCGGGAGCAAGAGATGCTCCGCATCTAAAAAAAATAGAAAGAAGACACGCATTGGACGCGGGGGTCGGCACGTCTGCGTGAAGCTCAGTATGGTAACGCTTGGGGCATGTAGGTATGACATCATGAGCTTTTATGGCGCAATAAATGACAGTGACGAATTTACAAGTGACACACACAATGACTCTACAGTCCATACACAGTAGTTTCCCAACAAGTGATGCACAATAACGGAATACCTTAATCTCTTTTCTATGTTGTCCGATAACGGGCCGATATAAAAAAATCTAGTAAAGCCCTATATAAACGATGCCCTACTGCTTCCATTCGGTTAATGTTGCCACTCACTCAGTGATTCTATGCTACCCTCACTCAGCAATTCAATGCCACCCCTAACTCCGCGATTCTATGCTGTTCCTCACTCACTGATTCTATGCTGTCCCTCACTCACTGATTTTATGTTGCCTCTCAATCATCGATTCTATTTTGCCACCACTCGTCGATTTTATGTTGCCACTCACTCACCGATTCTGTTGCCACTCAGTGACTCTGTGCTGCCACTCGTTCGGTGATTATATGCTGTTCTCACTCAGTTATGCTATGCTGCCACTCATCCAGCGATTCTATGTTGCCACTCAATCATCGGTTCTATGTTGCCACCACTCACCGATTCTATGCTGTCACTCGCTCACCGATTCTATGATGCTATTCACTCGTCCATTCCATGTTGCTACTCACTCAGTGATTTTATGTTGCCAACCACTCAGTAATCTTATGTTGCCACTCACTGACTTAATGTTGCAACTCGCTAACTGATTGACTGATTGATTGATTGGTCGATTGATATATCGATCGTGGGGCTTACCGCGCAGGCACTGCACGTAGCAGATGAGCGGGTTGAGCTCCCTTAGCTGGTCGGGGTACACGTCGGGCATCAGCGATTTCATGTTCCGCTTGCTGGGGGCGGCGGAGGGTGGGGTGGCCCCACCAAGGAGGACGGCTCCGCACGCTGTCGCCCGGTCCTCCCGGGCCGGCTCCTCCGTGGACGTTGCGATTATCACGCGGACCTCTTACTGCGACGGCTGCTCACGCCGGACGAAGGCTCAGCACTGCGAACCACCAAGATCGAGGTCACATGCCAACCTACGCATTGTTCTAGTACTGTGAAGTAAACCTCAAATCGCTGTTAATACGACATGTCAATCATCTTTACGAGTTAGAAAAATGCGCGAACTTGTATATCGGAAGTAGTGACAACGGGTCGAGTTAAGTTCTACTGGTCTCCAGGTTAACTGAGTGTTGGGCGAGTAGGTTAATGTTCATAGCGAAATTTAAGCGAGCACAAAAGGCAAGGAGACCATGTCCTTGCCTTTTGTGCGAGCTGAAATTCCGCGGCTAAGTAGAATCGACCTCTAATCTTCAATAGTCTTGTCGAGTAAATGAGCAATTAGACTAGTAATCCTTATAGTCGTTCAAACCGTCAGTACACTGGACTAGTAATGCATTCTGAGAGAAGGCAATTTGTCTATTCTCTCGGTGCATAACAAGCTTGCAGCAGTGCACCGGAATTTAGAGGCTACTTCATTTAGTCCTTGTATAAGGACCAGACTGGTTTGAAGAACCACTCTGCGCAGAGACGTCGCTTGCACGACACACGCTGGTCATAGTAACTCCGCGAACCTGACGTCTACGGCGGGGAGATTGAAACCGGACCTAGTCTGCGTTAACTCCGTTGTATGAGCTGAGTGGAGGGTGAGTAGCAGTGTCGTGGCTCGCTACCAGTGCGTCCTGGTTATAGTGCTGTTCCTGTGTTGAGGATATGATATACTGAATAGCTTGTGCATCAAGTTTAGAACGGTGCCAATGATCATTGAACACGTAAGGCGAATCGAAGACAAAGACAACTGAGGAAACGTCTGATCCCCTTCTTAGGTTGCTCTCAAATTTTCACAGATGCATACGCACCAATAAGCCCTCCTTCCGTTTCTCTTTAAGACCTTTCACCATTCCCTTGACCCCTGTGTTTACCCGACAGCCAATTTCCGTCCCCGGGAAGCAACTCATAACTAATACAAGAAGTTAGTTGAAACAGTCATCAGTAGATCGATTTCACTGTGTAGCATTTTGTGGCATGATCTCATTAAATTATGAAGAGCAGGCTTCATGATTTCATGGGAACGTGTTACTGAAAGCTAGAAGGGCAAGAGTGGGGGCTAGTTGGTTGAACATTGTTGAGACTCACACCGCGCTGGAATTAAACACACAAATAAAAGACACACTGAAGCACAGGTAGGACACACACGAGCGCGAGCACATCTATTCATTTGTCAAACAATGAATATACTTTTTTACGTAGACATTTTAGATAGTTGACAAGGCTGGATTTGATTAGCACTGATGGGCGCTTTATCTTGGTGGGCAGTGCGCATGTTCACGCTCTTTCTTTTTCTTCTTTTTCTCTCCTTTCAACCTATATATGTGTGTGTCACATTTCCATCGAATAAACAGTTGTTAGTTCGCGCTCGTGTGTGTCCTACCTGTGCTTCAGTGTGTCTTTTATTTGTGTGTTTAATTCCAGCGCGGTGTGAGTCTCAACAATACTGAAAGCTGTTATCCGCTTTCGAAACGCCCTGTGGTTTCTCAATCCAACTTACCATTGCTGCTTGGACGCATTGACCCCATTCATTGCAAGAGAAGCACACCACCCTAAAATAGGATGGCTAAGATTTAGACATAGCCACCTTTTCTACCGCGGTATTTATAGAGATTGAGAAGATGAGTATCACCGGAAGACATGCGAACACTTTAGCAGCGGATTGACAAATCTCCGTCACTCAACTGCCCACAGGGCAGTAACGCACTTTCGGGCTTTTTTGAAGACTACGGGCCTGTTTGAACGGCTTTGACTATTTTGCAGTGCACCGGATACGAGCATCTAGTGCTCATTTGCTTCTTGCATTCCTCTCTTTCTCCAATATTTTCCCCTTTTCATTCCCCCAGCGTAGGGTGGACAACCGCACATGTTTCTTGTGAACTGCCCTGTTTTCTTTTTATATTCCTTCTGTCTTATCAACGTCATCTTCTTGAGGGGTAGCATGTTTTAAGCAGTATAGCTTCAATATACTTACCTGATCGTAATACCCCATGAAAGTTGTAATAGCACATGCTAAGTTAGAGATAAATTTGTTCCACAAAAAGATCTCGGCAAAAGTGATAACTGCTTCAAGCTACAGATGTCTTTCGACGTTCCCGTCACTACCGGTGAAGTGCGTGCTTACGCCAGAAGCTTCCGTAAGGATTTCCCTGTGCTCGACACCATCGAGATACGGAGTGGGTCGATGCAGCAGAAGACTACTCAACCTGTTTTGTTTTTTATTCTTTTTTGCAGAAAACCTTCTAATGCATTCTAACATTTCGGTGTAAGCCTGGATGCAGACGCGGCTTACAGCATCGCTTGCTCTTTTAGGCCCCCATTGTCGAGGTTCACGATGCTTGTGTTTTTATAGCGTACCTCGAGTCCTTTTCGATTGATGAATCAAAAAATACCAAGGTGGAGTGCGCTGCGGGAATTGGTTACATTTCATTAGAAATGAATAGCAGAAAAAATTGCACATGCGGACTTTGAGAGACAATGACATGGCGAATTCAGCGGGTTGTCTAAAAATATTTAAATTTTTTTACATTACCTGCCTTATGACTGGCATTCATGACGCCATCGAAACCATGCAGAAATCGTTAGCTGAACTAGTGATGTCAATAGGGCCTGCACACGCACTTAAAAAATATTAACCTTGTCGCTGCACATGCACAAACACAAAGAAGAATGTCGAACGACCACTTAAAACTGCCCAACCTTCTTAACTATAGTACGCCTCATTGGTACAATGATCCCGGTGCACCGTTGCTGACTCGAAGGTCTCAGGTTCATTTCTTGCCGCAGCAGTCGCATTTCGACGCCGACATAATCCTTGAGGATTATAATCTTTGAGGTTGTGTGATGTCCGCGTATGCCAGAAAGCACCAGGTGGCCAACATTTTCGAAGGCCTTCTGCTACGCCCTCTCTCAATATTGCCGTGGTTCTGGCACGTAAACCCCAGATATAGGTTGCTATAGCTTTGTCATCTATATACAGCATCTATATGTATGCTACAACTACATGGGTTGATACGCTTTTTTTTTTGTATGGTGAAAGCGACGACTATACCTAATAGAGAGAGCCGGAACCACTTGCAAGCGGATCTCTGCACAGCAACCCGTTTCTGACAGAAACGTTACAGGTACAACGCCGCTCCCAATCTGTACATGACGACGACGCAGAGCGTCGCGTGACGTCAATTTGCCGAAGGTCCGCGCGTGCTCCAGATTAACGATGTCACGGCCAGAGGTGTGCAGCCGCGAGCCCCATGGCATCGTACTTGCATGCGGGCTCCTGGGACACGAGGGTCTATTACGCAACCACCATTAGCCCGTCGAGGCGAGAGCCTCTCGATCAGTCGGACCTCGCTGACGTCCGTCGTGACGTCAAACGCGGAGCCCGCTGCCTTTATGTTGGGCTCGTAGTCGCCTTACAAGAAATAGAGCGACGCCAAAGAAGCACCATGCAGCCTAATTCGCGGTACTTGATCGGTATTTTTTTTATGGTTGTGATGATGCTACGTTGCGCGCTCAGCGAAGCAACAGTGCGCGTGTATAAGATGACGTCAGCAGGAGTGCTAAAGCGCCGCATTTCAACTGTCATACTGGATTGTACAATCTTAGTTCATGGCGAGAATCAGGTGCGAGGTACTTCACCGCGTTACATGCCGACGAGGCTACAGAGAAATGCAATTGGTTGGTCGGCTGGTTATTATATTGAATTGTGCTGCAAATATTACGGCGCCCCGGGCTAAGGCCGCCCTGACAATGAGATAAGCGAAAACATTACAACGATAGAGGCACTTCGCGTCATGCCCGAAGCATGAAACTGTCATTGCGCCTGCGCGAACATGACAGTGGCTTGCAGCTGCGCATGCGTATGGGCACCGAGAATATGCACTTAATAAGGTTGTTCAGCCAAGCATCACTTCAGTGGAATGGTAGACACGCTATGGAAATAAGTCGAATAAAGTTAACAGACTGCGTGTACAGTGTCAATTTTTATGAAAGGGAACACGGGAGCGCGTAGCCTGCGCGCTCCGGTGGCTGCTGGCAGTGCGTTCAAGTGGAAGCTAGAGAAACCACTGTCTCTTCTCACGTCATCTCGCGGCGAGCAAAAGAACCATTCGTTGCTTATATGGAACCAGCAGTAAGATTGCGACCCTCTCCCTTCAAGGTAATTACGTGAGAGCTGGTAATCGCCTTGAAAGGTAGGGGCTGCAATATTGCCGTTCTATATCAGCAACGAATGGTTGTTTGGCTCGCCGCGAGATGACGTGAAAAGAGACTGGGGTTTCCCTAGCTTCCGCTTGAACGCACTGCCAGCAGCCGCCGCAGCGTGCAGGCCACGCGCTCCCGTGTTCCCTTTCATAAAAATTGACTCTGTACATATGCCCCTCAGTTCGCCTCGGTGGTGCAACGATTACGATAAGCAATTGCTGACCAAAGATCGGTGGTACGTTACAGCCGTAGCGATCACGTTTCGATAGAGGCAAAACGCTAGGAACACGTGTGGTGTGAGACTGCCGTGCACGTTAAAGAACGCCAGATGATCGAAATTTCCGAAGCACTCCCCTATGGCATATCTCATAATCACCATACCGCGGTTGTAATAAGCAACACTACGTGTAATATGATCATCGTTAAACGCGTCACTGCACGAACTGTCCCGCTCTTCTCTGCATTTTAATGCCTCATTGCATAGAAAAAGAAAAAAAGTTAATAGCGGACACTCCACAAAATCTGGCCTCATGGAAGTACGTCACGGCTACGTAACAAACTAGTGCTCTCACCAAACGCCAGAGGACGCAA